CAGAAAAACCAAGCATGATTGATTGGAGAAGGGTTGAAACTTTTAGATCCATACCCACCCAATCCTACCTCCAGGGAAGGGAAAAGAGCTAGAGATTCAATTAATCACTAATGGCCAATGATTTTGCCAATAGTGTCGTATAATGGAACAAACCTATGCAATTAAACCCATAAAAGTAAAGGGTTCCAAAATCTTCCAGCCTGGTGAACACATCTATGTCCTAGGAGGGTATTACATCCCAAACCCCACAGAGCTCCTGCAGTCAAGACCCTTCTGGACTTCACCCTATATGCCTCTACATCTAGCTGTTTTGTTTGTATCTTTATAATAAAGGAACCCCTAATTTGTATTCAACTTGAATAGAAATGGAGGTAACTTGAGGACCTACTACTTGATTACTGGCATCAAAAGAAGGAAGCAGTCTTGTGAGAATGAACTTAACCTGTGGCGTTGATGCTAACTCCAGGTAGTGAGTCAGAATTAAATTAAATTGTAGGACCCACTGTGTACAGAAAATTGGAGAAATGTTTTTTGTGAGGGGGGAAAAAAACCCCAGATTTGACATCAGAAGAACTGTGAGTAGAGAAGTGATTTTTTTCCTTTAAAAGATTATATAATTCTACAACATAAATGCAATTTCACTGAATCCTTATTATTACTGAGAAATGCTTTATTTAAAAGGCTACTTCTAGCTGGGTGTGGTGGTGCATCCCAGCAGCTCAGGAGGCTGAGACAGGAGGATTGCAAGTTCAAAGCCAGCCTCAACAAAAGCAATGCACTAAGCAACTCAGCGAGAACCTGTCTCTAAATAAAATACAAAATAGGGCTGGGGATGTGGCTCAGTGGTCAAATAACCTTGAGTACCAAAACAAAAACAAAAACAGAAACAAGGAGCTTATTAGCAACTCGGTGAGACCCTAGCTCCAAATAAAATATGAAATAGGGCTGGGGATGTGACTCAGTGGTCGAGTTCAATCCCCAGTACCAAAAAAAAAAAAAAAAGAAACAATAAAAAGCTGCTCTGGGCTATACATGTTGCCTAAGAAGCATAGACCCTGTGTTTATTTCCCAGTGTCACAAAAAAAACAATTAATTAATTAATTAATTTTTAAAAGCTACTTTTTACAGAACCATGCATAGTCAAAATTATCTATAAAGAGATTAGTCATGTAACACAAAGGATATGGGTACAGAATCATATCAGAATTCCTGAGTATCAAAAGTCTATTTGTGATTTGAACAAAGGACTCCAATTTTTTTTTTCCTGTGTGTGTTTAACCATTCATCCATTACCTTTGGCAATCAAGGCACAGTGTCGTCATGCAAGCTGGGCAATTCAAAACAGCATCACTATTTGGAACAGGCTGTTGGTGACGTGGCCTCTGTAACCCAAAACCATGAT